TTCGAGTATTGCTGAGCTCGACTAGAATTTGAAAAGTTTAAAATTAAACTCGACTCGAAAACTCGCGAGCTAAAAATTATCAAGCTCAGCTTGAACTCGAAATATAATATTGAAACTCAACTCGAACTCAAAAAGGCTAGAACTCAAAAAAAATTCAGGAGCTCGATTGAAGCTCAAGACTCGAGCTCAATTAAAGCCTCGAACTCAAACTCGAATTTTAACCTACAAAAATTTTGTATTACATTTAAAAATATATTTTTAAAAATTTATAATTATCAATAATGTAATTTTAAAAAATCTAAAATTATAATATAACATTTTTTTAAAGTACCTCGCGAGCTTTTCGAGTCGAGTATTAAGTAGCTCATTTTAACTCATTAAGAATTCGAGTCGAGTTCGAGCTCGAGTCGAGTTCATTTGATTCGAGTGTTGATCGAGCTTTGACCACGTCCATCTCGAGTAGCTTGTGATCTGTCTCGTCTCATTTACAACCCTAGTTGTTAGTGTGCGGGGTGGGTTGACAGTTGAAGCTGTGGTTATCGAGATAACACCTAATCAAAGTCAGACACATGATTTTATGTTAGAAGATAAATTTATAAAATGTTAAAAGAGAGATGAACTTATAAAATTTTAGGGAACGAAAACATATTTTTAACTGAAAATAAAAAGAAAATATCTAAATTATATAAAAATTTAAATTTTTTAAGGGGTTGACTGCCCTATTCATCTCCCTCTAGGTCCATCTCTACTCCCAAATTTTCTAGAATTCCTCTTTGTTGGAGACAACAATAATGACAGCAGAAAGAGGTGACAATAACAAATATAGGATTAAGATTTAGCATTAGAGATGAGAAGTTTTTTTCTTTTTTTAAGATAGTCAAACAAATGAACTTTTGAAACAAAATTTTATGGATCAAATTGGAATTTAACTTTTTTTTTTGTTAATATGTTATGTCATCAAATTAACAAGAGCTTTAACACCTCAAATCCAACCTTAACTCTCTATCGAATTCGTGAGTGTTTCATTCAATAACCTAAATGACCCTAATTAAAGCTCTTTATTTTTTAAAATCCAAATATAAAAAAAAAATTATAACTTGACTCTAAGGAAATTCTTAACCTTTACATGCTCATTTAAATAATCATTACTGTACTCAAGAACTATCACTGAGATTTATCCGATGATGTTGCTATCCCAGCACAATACATGAAACTTGTAACCTGTAAACTAAAACAATTCGTACGTTTAACTTACAAACCTGAATGATACACATCTATTCTATAATTAATATTTCATGAGTTTCATAAACATGAGCACGTGAATCTATTGTGAACATGTGATTATTAGGCACTTTTTCCTGTAATCTTCCGTTAATTATATTGGTTTACGTGTTTACTCGAGGTTTAGAGTGTATCATATTTCAAGTTATTATATTTTCTTATGATAACATTAGTAGTATTTCTAGATTTACTATGCAACATGTATTATAATTTACTCAGTCCAGGATACGACACTTATTCACTAAAGTGAACTCTATCATGATACTTTTATAAACCAACTATACGTTAATTGTTTTATTTGAGTTATCATGCTTTATTCTACTAGTAACATATATAAGTACATCATCCATGAGTTCATAAAGAACATGTGCATGAGTTCATAAAAAACATATGCATGTATATCGTGCATGGTAAAATTAATGTCATCATGTCATATCTGTTTTTAATCTGTCATCATGAATCATCGTTAAGAACGTTTAAAGTAAATTATAAAAGGGATCTATCCACGTGAGTGCGGGCTAATATTGACATAAATGTCATGAAATTCAACACGAATGCAGAACCTATTCTGTAAGGGTAGACGAACCCGTAAGTTCAAATGCACTGAAATGCTAACTCAACATCAAATAGAATTCTTACGCAAGATAGACAAACCCAAAAATCCAAGACGCAAATACTCGACACTAGATATGCCTTTGTATCATGCGACTTCTTCTAGTATACTAGGGAAATGCATACATCATAACCTTAATCATATCATATCACACATACTGAAACTAGTATTAATTACTCGATTCATGAACTATTCATTTTTATACATGAATATCTCTATTTTCACGTGAGCATGTCATAAATGTATATTCAATATGATATATGCAGTGCTTACCTTGTTATAATTATTTAACATAGTACATGGGGTGACTTATCCCAAGTCTCCCTAACATCATCTAACATGAAATGCAACATATAATATGTTTACATTCAATTGATCACAAAAGACTGTATTTTTTTTATCGTGACAGTTAATACTATTTCGTAGGATTTGTTTTTAATCAACCTTAAGCTCTCATAATTCATTAACTATCTATATGGGTATTTTAGTAATTTTATATAGTCGAAAGTATTTTAGTAATTTCTCCATGTAAGGATTTTTAGTCAATTTTACTTTCATACGAGCATTTTAATTATAATTTTTAATCATTACATTATATCATATCGTTACGAACATTTTATTATATGAAGATATTTTGATAATTTTCGTCTCTAAGAATTTTTAGTCTTTTATTAATTATAAGAGTATATTATTCATTTTATTGACTATATACTTAAAGGTAATTTAACCATTTTAATATTTAAAGGTAATTTTGTTATTTGGCACATAAGAACATTCTAATCATTTTCATGTTGTAAAGAAACATTTAAGAAACTACTATAATTTAATTTAAAAACTCATTTTTTATATTAAGGATTTTTTATATTTTTATTTCTTTTTAAAAAAATTAAGAATAATTAATTTAAAAAAACATAAATTCAAAAACATAAATTCTGATTTTATGTAATAATTAGATTTGTTTTAAATTTTATTATTTTATTATTTTGAAAATTGAAGAACTTAAAAAGAAATAGAAATTTCTAGGAAGAAAATCATAAAATCTGTATAAAAAACCTAGAATTAAATAAACGGACTACAAAATTAGACTTTTTTTTAACATTTTTTATTTTTAGGAATTTTTATATTTATATAATCTTTTAAATTTTAAAAATAATATAAGCATAAATAAATTTTTAAAAAATATGAATTCAATAAACATTTTTTTGGGTTTCTTTTATATTTTTTATGAATTTAATTATAATTTTAACTATTTTAAAGGAAGATGCGGAATATGTCCAAGCGTCAACGGTACAGAGCAAAATGAAAAGTGATGGATTAAATCAATAAAACATAGTAAAAGAATTAAAATGAAAATTTTAGTAGAGAAACTAAAGTATACATTAAACCTAAAGGATTCGTATAAAAATAAAATTTCAAATTATATTTTTTTCAATTTATGTGTCTAAACTATTTCTCGATTAATCAGGTATCAATGTTACACTTTTAAGTGTCTAGACCATCACAACCATTAAATTCCGTCGTTAAATGAAACGTGTTACTTTTATAAAATTTTAATTTTTTATTTAAATTAAAAAAAAACTTAAAATTATAATAATTTTAAAGAAAAACCCCAAAACTTTATAAAACTACAAAAAACCCAAAATCTTTTCAAACCCTAACGTCAAACCTTTTTCCACCGTTGACCGTCACTACCGTCGTCAATCGGCCGAACACCCAATAATGTGTAACCGACCAACCATCCACGACCAAAACCCCCTTTCTTTCACAACCGGTCGAACACCCAATGGCGGTGTAAATGCAACATTTCGCGATCATCAATTTTCACCTATATTGTCGTTTTTCGCTACAATTAGAGGTTAGAGTAGGGGTTTCAGGGGTTGGGAGTTATGTCGGTCATACGTCATTGAGTGTTCACCAGATTGACAGCGTTGGTGGCTGCTGGCGATACTAAAGGGAGTGAAACTAGGATTTTAAAAGTTTTTTGGGTTTTTTTAATTTCAGAAAAAATGGGGGTTTTAAAATAATTTTTTTTATATATTTTTAAATAAAAATTTATAAATTTATAAATTTGAGACGTGTCATTTAATGATAGAAATTTAATGGTCGTGACGGTTCAGACACCTAAATAGGAAAAAATGTATAAATTAATCCCTTATTTTTATATTAAGCCAAACCTAAATAAAACTAAGGTTTCATGAACATGAGGTATTTGAAATATATATATAAACACAAGTATTCTCATGATCTCATCCGCCATCGCAAATCTTTGAGGACAAACAAATACACTTACAAAAGATAAAATAGGTTTTTAATGTCTTTGTTTGGTGTTAGGTTGAGCTAATATATCAGCTATATGAAATATTCATTAGCCAATGGAGGATACTGAACATAGACTCAGTATCAATGTTTCTTGAATTCGAGAGCGAGTGTTGGATTTATGAATTATATTCAATTTATTGTCATGTTCTTTTCCTCATGTAACTAATGAATTTTCTATTTGACATTTCTGGTCCAAATCCAAAAGCTGGATCATGACACCGGATCACAATTCGTTAGTTTTATCATTTGTGGTTCGTTGGGTGTGATTTTTTTAAACGGATTTTGGGATCATAATTCGTTCGAGTGGGATTATTTGGTGATGGCTGATTCATTATACAAATTAGAAATGAGTTTTTGTTGTGCTGGATTTTCGGTAGGCCAATTTGATCGTTCTCTTAACGAATTGGAACGCGAATGAATCTCGAATTAGAACGAATGAATTCAAATTAGATTCGTGGGGTTGGGGTGAATTAGGTAACACTGGCCTGAACATAACCAAGCAGAGCATCTGCTCCCTCTGGCTAAAAATTAAACATAAACAGAAAGGAATTGATTACTCCAATTCGAAGTAAAATTATGTTAAGAGTCCAAAACAATGGGTTCCATCAATAAATAGTAAGAAAAACAAAATGCATGGACTGTACCCCAACCAAATGCAGAGTGCAGAAACAGGGGATTACTTAAATAACCAAGAACCAACAATTTGAGCTCTGAGATTGAAATATACAGAAACTGTGTGTAATTAACCGAACCATGCTGTCCATAAAAGAAACAGATTAAAAAACAACTACTACCAATATTGTGTTTTCTTTTTTATCTACATTGCACTAATTCATCAATTCAAATCTAAAGGAAGACCCAAACTATTACCCTGTGACTTGAATATCTACAACCATCTACTAACCAAGATAGCACTATGTTTTCATTTCACCATGGGCCGGTGGATGTTCTTCGCAAGCATCGTTTCGTAGTTCCTTGGTGCATGTTCATTTTCTCCATGGCCTGTGGTGCCACCAAATAGTTCTTGAGAATTGAACAAAGTACCTCAAATCTAAATAACTAAGCAGCCAGTTTAGAGATTACAAAATAAAAGAAAAACAGAAGTGGACTGGTACCTGATTTTTCTGCATTTCCATTATTTCTACCTGCAGCAACCAAAGTACAGTCAAGAAAGAATGTAAATATGTGCTTGCCATAGCCGACAAGTAGTTAGAATGTGAGCAAACTACGACGAACACACTGGAACAAAGAAAGGTAAGAACATACGTTTTGCTTCTGCAATTCTTCGTTCTCCTCTTTTAGCTTTGCGACTTCTTCTTCCAGTTCCGTTGTATAAGCCTAACGGACAAAAAACAGTGAATGCCATGAGAAACATCAAAGCACAAACCTGAGGACACAACATAAATTTCACCAGTTATCGTAGGATAGAACAGTTTCGATTCGTTATGTTGATAACAAAATCAACTAGGTCAAGGAATGTTAACCTTAACCAATGGTTTTATTTGATTCTTATAATATGATACAGCTTCAAACTTCCCACGTTGACGAAACAAATGCTCCATTACCTCGCAACACGAATCCTTATAACTCCTCATGAACTCGAATTCTCACAATCTTTCATCGCTTCTCATGTCAGATTGCTATCAAATTACCACACTGCAGCATAATCTTTCATGAAGTTTGAGATGCAAGCATGTCATAGATGATAAAAGCACGAGGTCAATGGTTTGTAAAACTCATTAATCCTTGGTAAGAGTTGAAAATCTCTGAGATATTAGGCTATTTCTTAAACTTCAACGAGATGCATAACAAGTCAATAGCAGACCAATAATATTCAGTTCACAGATGATAACAGCGCATAATCCAAATTGTCTACCTTTACTACAATGAACTAAAAACAGCTATGAAGAACGTGTAAATAAGAAGCATACTCACCTGCTTTCGAGCTCGAGATCTTGCTGCGGATTCTCTGTTCTTTATCATTCTCCTTTGCCTCCTCTCAGCAACCTTTTCAACTGCACTGGATTTCCTACCCTTCAAACTTCCATTAAACACATGAACCGGCGAGATAGAAGAATTGTCTGCAGTACTCGTCCCAATTGCATTCAATGAAAGCTGGTTAGCCGGTGATCCGGTTGGAAAGCCGACTGGCCCTCCTAAGCCAACAATCCCCAAGTCTCCACCCTGTATAAGACCATTGCTTAGCCCCTGATCCCCAATCCCAGTAGTTCCCCCTCTATTTCCGGGACTCCCCAACTGAGATCCAAATCCCATAACAGGTTGTTTAGGAAATATCGGTTGCTGGTGCCGCTGCTGCTGGTGGTTGTTATGCTGAGTTTGCTGCTGAGCTAAGTGGTGGTGGTTTGAGTTAACTCCATTAACATTGAAAGGCAAATTGGAAGCCTGAAATCCAATTTGATTACCACCTTCAGAAACCCTATTCCCCATCAAATTTGGACCTCTACCACCTTGTTGAAACTCATCAAAGAACCCTCCATGAACATTATTGACCTTCCCAGCAAATTGGGCGTCCTCTCTTACCACACCAGCCCTCGCCAAAAACTCTTCCAAAGTCATCTCCCCTAAGGTCTGCTGCCTTTGGGGTATATTATCATTAGTCCATGCAGTTCCAATCCCATCTTTCCCTATGGAATACTCCTTTGAAATATTTTTCCAAACTTCATCAACTGTCATCTGGCTAAGGGTCCTAGGCAAAGTCAGGGACCCCTGCCTTTGTAACCCTCCATTTCCGTCTAGGCCACCACCGGCAGAAGCCAATGCTTGCGTTTCTTCAGCGCTCCAAATGTTCCTTAATAACTCATCCATATTCAGTGACCCAAAATCTTTTCCTGTGCCACCCATGGTGCTTTGAAACTCATCGAAGGTTAGAGAATAGATTGATGACTGTCTACTTAACAGAGTATTCACACCGCCGTCGGCTGCTTGTGGCGGTTGGCTACTTCCGAAGTTCTTGAAGTTCATGTTGGTCGCCATTAAAATCTGGATAAAACAGTACTAAAAAGTATGGTCTAAAGATTTATACATATAGAGACTCCTCTACTGTACTTCAATTAAAGAAGAAATTAGAAGCTTTTTTTCCCTTTCAATATTAGGGACATTCAGATATATTCAGAAGATCCAAGCTAAAAAAGTTAAAACAATTAAATAAAGGGTAAATTATAATTTTCATCACCCACTTTAACATATTTTCTATTTTATTCATTAATGTTTAAATATTTTAAGTTTAATCACTAAATTTTTAAATTTTAAATTTTAGTCTTTAAAGTTAAGACAATTAAATAAAATTTAAATGATTTTTCAATTTATATTCATAAATTAAAATTTTGATATTATTTTAATCACATGAACATAAAATAAAAAACGAAATGATGACATAACAACCATGTTGAATTGGACTATTTTTCATTGAGATGATAGCCAATCCACATCATTTTTCCTTGTTTCTTTTTTATTTTTTCTTTTTCTTCAAAAGTTGAAATTTTACATATTCATCCTAACACGTCGACGTCGGAATTATTATTATATGATATCTTCTCTGACCACTCAAAATATCAATGAACTTGCTTATCATCTTCTACTCTATCAACTTAGATTTTCCCAAAATAATTTCAAAACTCACAAAATTGAACCCAAAATCCAAAATCACCCCAATTTACAATATACATTGTCTGATTAGTGTGAGATCAAGATATATAGGGTGCCTTTTCTTTCTTTACCTCTCCACTGATAGGATTTGGGAGAAGATGCTTTATCGTCAGAAATCAAATGAAATTTAAAACCATAATTTTTCGTTAAAAGAAAGTTTTAAGTTTGTTTTATATATATATTTTTTTAAAAATACTCATTCATAACTTCGTGAAAGTATTTAATGTTAGAATGACTAAAATAGGAATATATTAATTATTTAATGATTAATTTTTTAAAATCTTTAATAACTCAAATAAGAGTGGGAAGAAAATTGACTGCTAAAATTTATAATTTACCCTAAATAAATAGAGATATAATTTACGTGAGCTTCTCATAAATAATATTTTTGTGATTGGCACAACGTGGACGAATGAGGAAGGTAGGGTTGGTTGCTGGTGACATGAGATCTGGACCGTCCACGTTGAGAGTTTAAGGAACGGTGGTGATTGTTTTGAGTTTTTATTGGTTTGGATTTGTGGTGTGTAATGGTGTGTTGGCTGGATAGCATCGTGGTGCCAGTAGATAAATGCTGAAGAGAGGGTGTTAGGGGTATTTTCGTCTAAATATTATGTTGGTCTGACATTTATCCGCGCTTTCTTACACGATATAACACCCAATGATTTTGGATAATTACGTCTACAGCTTCGGGACCCACCGTTTTATGCGTGTTCCATATTACAAAGTTACCCTTAGTCCAAATTTTTTATTACATTTTCTTGAATGACCAAATCATGACTTAGGATAATGACTTCCTCTAAGAGAGAAAATTTGGGTTTAATAAGTTTAAGATTTTTTTCAATAAATATGAATATAGCACAAAATTAAAATTTATTATAACATTAATAGTAATAATGTGAACCCAGTAACATATCAAAATAATATAAGATTGTTTATGCTTAGTCGTTCTCTCTCTCTCTCTCTAGAATTTATATCATTTTATACATCATATCAATATTTTTTTAACTTTGTATAATCTTTGACGGTAACGATTTTGATGTTGATTACCAACAGTCGGTTATCTTTTCTCTTTATTTTTTTAGTTTTTTAATAAGAATAATTTTATCTTTGTGACACGTTTTTTCTTTATCTTTGTGGCATATTTTTCATCTTTTTCCTCGGTTGATTAGTCATTCTTTTTATTTTATGTTTTTTTATTAGATTTAATGACGCAAAGACTGATCAATAATTCACTTATTTGTAATATTATTGATCTTCCTTGCTATGAACCCTTGGATTGACTTTGAATACGTGATTTTGCGTTCATGGATAGTTTCTCACGACACTTGGCTCTTGTAGACATTAATTTTTTCAGCATATTATTATTATTATTTTATTATTATTACTATTATTATTATTATTAAATAAAAAATATATATACAAACCCAAATATATTACAAAACCCGAAGCCCAACATCTGGCCCAAGAGATGACCCAAACCCTTTAAGGTTTGTAACATTTCAGCTAGGGTTTTCTAACCCTAGCCCCAGCCGCCATTGCCTCTAGAAGCTTCTGTCAGGTGCCTCCTCCAACTGCTGCCAATGCCTCCCAAGCCAGATGGTCCAACCAGCCGACGCTACAGTGCCACGCCACGTCCCGTAGAAGCCTCCAGAAGTGCCCATCACCGCCCCATGTCAAAGCCCTATGGTGAGTCACCACCATAGTTCGGTGACTCACCTAGGGTCGCCCTTTGCGACCGGTCTGAGACAAGAATCGTGGTTGCCTATAAAGCCACCACCTCACCTGCAAAAGAAGAAAAAAAAAGAAAGAAAAAAAGAGGATAACCAACAGCAAGCAAGAACTTGGGAGAAAAAAAATGAAGAGACCACGACAGCAAACCACAACGAGACCAACAGCAAGAAAAACCCGAACCCAACAGCAAACATTAAAAGAAAAGAGAAGAGAGTGGAGCATTTTACCCTTGTAGGAGTCTCCAAACCGCCGTGCAACCACCAAAAGCCGGAACAAGGCGGCCGACCGATGGCCATTTTCCTCCGGTCAGAGGCATTAAGAAAAAAAAACAGAGAAAAACAATTTATCTCTCAGATTAGAGAGAGAAAGAAAAGAAGCAAATGAGAAATGGCCCTTAGGGCCGGCGGGTTATAGGGTATTTATACCCAATATGAAACGACGCCGTTTCATGGGTATAACTGCGCATTTTGGGTAAAGGGTAAACTCCGTCCACGACCCTTCAAGTTTTGTAACATTCCATTTTAGTCACTAAAATCGAATTCTAAAATTTTTAATTTAATCTCTGAATTTTATTTTATTTTATTTTAGTCCTGTCCAATATAGGCTTATATATTTAGGGTAAATAACTGATTTAGTCCCTTATCATTTAATTAATATTTATTTTAATCCGGTATTTACATTTAGGTTGAATCACGCTATTCATACCTATATTACATAATATTATTAATTATGTCTATTAATTTTTATATTTTATAATTTAGTTACTGCTTTTTTTTATAAATTTTTATTTTGACCATAAGTTTTATTACTTTTATATTTTAATCTTATAGCTTTTTAATTCTTTTTATTTTGATCATTATTGCAATTTCATTTTGTTTTTATTACTTTCAACATGTTTAAATTATTGCTTTAATTATTATTTTATTATTACTTTTATATTTTATTTATTGCTTTAATTATTATTTAATTATTATTTTTATCTTAGTCTTATATATATATATATATATATATATATATATATATATATATATATATATATTTGTTTAAATAATGATATTTATTTATTTTTAATATCAAAGAAAAGGGCATTCTTAAAACAAATAGATGTCATATTCTAGTATTTTAAATAAATAAATATCTTACTTATAAAAACCAGAAAATACATATTGTTTTATTTAAATTATTTTCTAAAAAATAATCATATTTTAAATATATATTTATTTTTCAATATTAAGAAAGGACAGTCTTAAAGCAACTAGATGTCTATTTTCTGATATTTTTAAATAAATAAATATTTTTATTTTACTTTTATAAATTATATATATTTTAATTATTTTTAGCTAAATGTTTTATTAATATTTATTTATTTTTTAATATTAAGAAAAGAGCTGTCTTAAAACACCTAGAAGTCATTTTCTAATATTTCTAAATAATTAAATATCTTATTTATAAATATAAATATTTTCTTAAAATTATACTAATAAATTTGAAATAATAGAATTATGAATTAAGTATATTTTGAATTCTTAAATTTCCAATAATTAAGAGACAATTTATAATCGACAAGGTACCAATTTTGGGCGTTGTGGGGGTGCTAATCCTTCCCCAAACGTAACCGACCACGAATCCCTTTTTATTTCTAAAAAGAATGAATTTTTGGTTAAACGCAGACCAATTTATCTTTTAACTGGTGTTTTCTTAAAAACTCTTTTAAAAGATGATTTTTAGGTATTCGACCTACCTAACTCAAAAAGGTCGATGGCGACTCCCAAAACATTTTTTAATCAAAATCATTTTTTATCCACATTATTTTTCCCGCCAAGTAAAATTTCGTGCCCGGGCAAAAACCGGTTACGACAGCGTGGCAACTCCGCTAGAGATTGGTCAAGCTTTTAAATGAATTATAAATTGTCTCTATTAATTAGAAATTAAAAATTCATATATTTAATTTATAATTCTTTTCTTTTAAATTTTTTATACTTATTATTTTATAATATTTTATATATTCTTCTTTATGATTGTTTTTATTTTATTTAAAGGTATTAAATTTCATTTTTTATTTGTTTGTCAGAGGTCTGAATATTTCTCCTCACACACAACACATTGCAGTGCATAACATAAAGTTTTATAATTAAGCTTGTCCCTTTTAAGTAGGAGTGAAAGCAACATCTTCGTGAGAATTTATTCTCCGTGTCAGACCTAGCAAGTAACTTTCGAGATTCATATGCTCTATGTCTTCATGAGAATTTATTCTCCGTGTCAGGCATAGGGAAATGTGTCCCCTCGAATTGAACTTGATCCACTTTAGTCTGTAGTGGACTAGGATTGAGGGTTGGCAGCCCAAGGGGGCACTAACAAGGACAGTTCGAGTACCTTTACTCCTATAACTGAAACCCTGCATATAATAAACCCTAGAAATTCACCTGATCTAAGACAATACTGAACCTCTGTCCGTAGGTGTACATAAAGGAAAAATATAGCTTTTAATTTATTTAATTTATTATTTTTCTCTCTGAATAAATGCATGCGAACTAAAAATCATGCAGTTAGGTTAATTTTTCCAAACAAAGCATGGAACTAGAAAGCATGAGGTTAGGATTTATACCTTGATAGATAGAAATTTTTTCTTTCCATTAGTTGGTACTAA